TGCGAATTATAGAGGTATTAAGTTAATGTGTCATACTTTAAAACTATGGGAGCGAGTTATGGAGCATAGGTTGCGGCGTGATACTAATGTTTCTCAAAATCAATTTGGATTCATGCCGGGTAGGTCGACTATGGAAGCCATACATTTATTAAGAGGTTTGATGGAGAAATATAGAGAAAATAAGGAGGATCTACATATGATATTTATTGATTTAGAAAAAGCATATGATAAAGTTCCAAGAGAAGTGCTATGGAGAGTTCTTGAAAAGAAAGGAGTCAATAATGCTTATATTCAAATCATTAAAGATATGTATGCAGGAGCTATTACTTGTGTTCAAACACAAGGTGGATTGACCAAGTATTTCCCTATTTCGGTTGGGTTACATCAAGGATCAGCCTTAAGCCCATATCTATTTGCTTTAGTCATGGATGTTCTCACTAGACATTTGCAAGAGGATATACCTTGGTGTATGCTTTTTACTGATGATATTCTTCTTGTTGATAAGACTAGAGAGGGAGTTGAAGGTAAACTTGAATTATGGAGGTCAACCTTAGAGTCTAAAGATTTTCGCTTGAGTAGATCTAAAACGGAATATATGGAGTGCAATTTTAGTAGTAATAGACCTAGTGAAGGGATTGTGACTTTGGGCGATCAAGTCATTAATAAGAGTACACGTTTTAGATATCTTGGATCTATTGTTCAGAGTGATGGTGAAATAGATGGGGATATTATCAGCAGAATTCAAGTTGGATGGTTGAAGTGGAGGAATGCATCGGGCTTGTTATGTGATAGAAATGTACCCCTCAAACTTAAGGGAAAATTCTATAAGATGATAGTGAGGCCTGCAATGCTTTATGGTGCCGAATGTTGGCCATTAAAAGAGAAGCATAATACTAAGTTAAGTGTGGCAGAGATGAGAATGCTCAGGTGGATGAGTGGCTTTACCCTTAGAGATAAGATACGAAATGAACATATACATGAAAAGGTTGGAGTAGCTCCAGTAGAAGATAAAATTAGAGAGAGTCGCCTTAGATGGTTTGGTCACATAAAACGACGGCCTTTCGATGACCCGGTTAGGAGAGTAGAGGTATTAGATTTGACTTATATTAAGAAAGGTAGGGGTAGACCTAAAAAGACTTGGTTAGAAAATATTAGGAATAACCTTTCTTTATTAGATTTAAACGAGAATTTGACTTTTAATAGGACACAATGGAGAAAAAGGATTCATGTAGCCGACCCCACGTAGTGAGATAAAGGCTTGATGTTGTTTAATTATAATTATTTAAATAATTATGAGTAATTATTTATAATTAATTAATTTAGATTATAATTAATTATTATTAATTAATTATAATTAGTTAATTAATTGTTTATAATTAATTATAATTAAAATAAATAATTATAGTTATCTGATCTTGCCTTGATCCTCGAGCTAACGCCGTAGACCCCGCGCAGGTATAACTCCTAAACCCTAAAACTCCGAGAACTCGTTTCAATGCATTTGTCGGGACAAAACGACCACCTATACACGCTTTTCTTAGCGTGGTGGGAGGACGTGCGTCCCGACGCTTGCGACGAAGCGGGTAATCACCTAAATTCCTTTTTCGAAGTTTGTATCGCCTTGGAAACCCCGCCTATGCAAGTTTTTCTTAGCGTGGCGGGAAGGGATCTCGGTGCGATGCGCACGACGAAGCGGGGATACCCATAAGTACCCGCTTGCGGGGAAACAACTGCCTTGCTTACAAAATACTTTCAAAAAATAATGCTTTTCTTGCAAAATTTTTCAAAAAATACTCATGCACGCTTTTCTTAGCGTGGTGGAGGAAAAAAAAATTACACGGCCGCGGTGTCCTCGAAAGAGGACATCTACCATACACGCTTTTCTTAGCGTGGTGGGAAAGGCCAAGTTTTCCGTAGTTTTCCCCTAAACGGGGGAGACGCCGGAAGGCTGCCTAAATTTCGGGTGAACGCAATGCTACATTTGGACTTGGTTGAACTCAAAGGATAATTGAACTCGGACTCGGACTTATGAACCTGTGAACATGAGAAGACAACGGACTTGTGGACTTGATTCAATTGACTTAAATAAACTCAAATAAGCTTGAAAATACAAAATTTGAGCCTACATTTGATTTGAAAATCAAATGAGAATGACAAAGAGCTAAAATTTGATTGAACTCAAGAGGCTACAAAAGACTTGACTTGAGCTAGAACAAGAACTTGATTTAAACATTAAGCCGGTAAGGCTCGAACTTGAAAAAGCAAGGGACTTGATGAACTACAAATGACTATACTGAAACTTGATTTGAGCTTGAACTCACACTTGATTTGAAAATCAAATGATGTGAGCAAAGACTTTGAACCTCACTTAACTTAAATAAATCATAAAATGAATGATTTGAACACAAGCAAAGGTGTTAAAGACTCATTTTGGAATTCAAACTAATTGAGACCTCAGTGGATATGACTTGGACCATTTGAATTCAAAATTCAAATGAGCAAAAGACTCAAATCAAAGTTACTTTGAACTTGAGCTTGAATTCCACAAGATTATTTAGGACTTGGATTATAACAAGTCATGTGAAATCAAAGTTAAGCCAAGAGGCAATAAGCCAAGCCTAATTCAAACAAGACATTTGCAGCTATACAAGCTAGAACTCATAAAGAATATTGAATGAATTCTCAAGGCATACAAATGATGAATGATAGAATGATTTGGAATATTCAAGGAAAATCAACCTGCGAATAAGAACAAGTGATATCCACATCATCATACGAGATCTAAATGAAGGTGTCAAAGTTGTGATCATTTAAATGTATGCAAAAGAACATCTTATGAGCAATATAAAGATGATGAGGGTCAATGTGTATATCAATCATAAATACAATTGCTCTCTTGCAAATAAAAGAAATTGATACATATGTTAGTGAATTCACAAACAAGCATCACTACATATATTTCCAAGTTCATCATACATGTTGCTAGCATAATGTGATCTTTAAGTAAAGAAGGTCATGGGAGAAAGAGTTTGATCTTTATGCAAGAAAGAATGATAGCTCTTATTACATCTATGTACAAACACTAATGAAAGATTGTAGATGTTAGAAGAAATTATAGTGTGCCCATAAGTAACTGTAGAAGGTCTATCATGTACACGGTGATTCATCTGCAAGCTCTTAAGACCCAAAGCAGGAGATTCGTTAGTGCACTACGATCCACCTACAGAAAGTAACGAGTAGTGCACGACAATCCACCTGTACGAAGCAGCGAATAACTCAATTCAGAAGCTGCTACGCCAAGCCACCGGATCTGCAACCTCCGTACAAGCAGACAGAAGGCATCTATTCCAAGAATACCCCCGCATGTGCACCATAGCTTGTATACACATAGGTACACTAAAAGGGGTAAATACAATCAAATACCCGCATGGGCCCCGGCGAGCGTGTTATTGGTACACATGTGACGTCTAGGGATGCTGCGCGGGTTGACAAGTGAATTCAAGTTCGAAACTGATCCTTCTATACGGGTCAATAGAAGTCGACAGGTTTCGAACCATTAAGCAAATATAAAGTTGTGGCGACCGGTATATTTGCTTTAAAACATTCGTATTAGGCCATCAAGGCCTATAACAATGAGAATTCACTATCAAAGGCTCAAAGCCTACAAAACCCGATCCTCTGTCGACAGCCCGACAGAGTTGACAAGGTTCAATCAAATAAATAGAAATGACCTCCAAACACCCCGATGATGGCCGTATTGAATGCAGATCTCAACCGGAGGGGTTCCCCAAATATATTCAAATATCTCCCAAATATCCAAAGTTTTATTTCAAATACTCCAAAGCTCCACCCAAAATTCCAAAAATCCCAAATATTCCAAAGCTCCACCCAAATATTCACAAAAATCCAAAAATCCCCAAAATCCAAAGCTCCACAAAAAGCCCAAATTCTAAATATTTAAAATTGAAATTCAATCCATCCGCCCTCCGCAACAGTTTGTCGAGGCGGACAAATTGAAATTTACTCTAGCTCACAAAGAGCCAAATGCCTAGTCGAAAATATCACTATGATCAATTCTCAAACAATCTCTTGTCAGTAAGGGCGTGGTACGTGTCCTCTAACCGGCAGTTTCGCCGCCAAATGGCACTGCAAGTAAACGGTTATGACCCGGGGCCCTCTGAACCGAGTGGTTTTGCCGCCAAATGGCACCACAGATAGCGGTTATGGCCAGAGCCAATACGCTCCTTAATGGCGTTAAATCCTTGAGATATGAATCAATAGAATATGATCGATAGGGCACAAAGCCCTCTGTTGACTAGCCTTAATTGAAAGTTCTCTCTTGTTATCGGGAGGGGTAATTAACTATAGGGGCTTGCGCCTATAGGAAACCAGAACTCAGATCATAAAGTCCTCACAAAATGAGGGCGAAATCTCTGGGTAGTGTCTTATCTACAAACCCATCTACCTTCCAAAATTTACCCCGGAACATATCCGTTAAAACTCCCTCGCCGGAATAAAAAAAGAAATCGCGCGGCGGGAAGGCCGGGGCCGAATTTTCGGAGCCCACACTTATCCACTGAAAACACGTCAAGCTATCGCTTTGGGTCAAAGCACTAAAAGAAAACGACGGGAAACGCGGCGGCATAGGAACCACGGGAACCCAGGAGGGACATGTGCTACAAAAGGTGTAAGGGTAATTCTACATAAATCTTTTAGACATTCAACCCATGATACATGTTTTGTTACATGCCTATTAAAAATCAGTTAAAAATAGAGTACTAATCAACGATAGCTCTTTTTGGAAAACAGCAACGAAAGGATCAGATTTTTTTTTTCTGTAATCCATCAGACAAGGCATTATAATTAAATAATGGATACAAATCTAGGAACACTATTTTCTTCATTAAAAAGCAAAAGAATACTTCGGAAAGTTGATTGCATTCATCCTCATACGAAAAGACCGAAAAAAAAAACCACATGACAGAGAAAAGTTGACTTACTATTCGACCAAACTCATCAGTCCTTTCAATGCGAATTTCCTTTGACCCGTCATTAGTATAGATGCCAGCCAATTTACTTTTCTTTTTATCCATATTTCTACCTCCCCAATCAATGCTGTCCTTCAATGTCCCACGGTCTTTAAGTAACTTAAGTGCACCCGCTAATCCTTTTCCAACTGCAGTCTCATGGATAATCTCATCTGGAGTAATATTTACATTCTCTCCGGAAATGGACAGTTCATTCATTTCGATTTCTTTTGCTTCTATCCAGCCACCAATTTCTGTTTTTGTTTCTTGATCAATTGACATGGGAACATCCTCTTCATCCTTAAAAACATCTTCAGATTCCGAATTATTTGTTTCTGTGATAGACAAAAATAGGATAAAAAATATATTATAAATTATTGTTATAATAACACAAATAACACTATTAAACTAGGGGTGGTCAGTCAAGTTTCCTCAAAGGAAATAATCCATTCATATTTAAAAGACGCGCACCATACATAAAAAACAAAAGAAAACAAGAATCTACAATACCTTCATTAATTTGTAAACCCAACACAAATTCCTCCATCTCTGTGATCACAACTTTGTTCTCTTGAATGTCTCCTCCAGCAGAATCTTGAGCAACATCTAGCTCTCTATGAGCTGTAGCTAAAAGGGCCACTGCCTGAGGACCAGAAGACGCTACTTCATCCTGTTTCTTTAGGGCAAGTTTTCTAGCTTGTTCAAGAGATTTCTGGAGGTCTTCAAAGTCTTCTCCAAAAACAAGGTTGTCATTATCAGTTGGTTTGGAAGTCAAAGACTGCCCCTCACGTAGAAATTTAGAAGCCTCCTCAGCTTTAGCTAATGCTGCTTGGTAAGCATTGCTCCTTGCTTCAGCCATGCTTTTCTCCTCCTCCTCTCTAGTAGACAGTCGCTTCATATCACCCCTTGTACCAAGGTCACCAAGGCCTAACCCGGCAGCTCGAGCTTCTGCTTCAAGGGCATCCAAATCCAACCTTTCTTTCTTCCTTAGAGATTTTTTTTTCTTTGGTTTCTTAAATTGAAGCATTTCGTCAATAGTGAAATAATCTGACTGAATTTTCACTGATGAAGATAGGTCTTCATAATCCTTTTTCAAACTGTTTCCTTCTATCCTTTTGCGTAACTGAAAAGAATCGGATCACATGATAATCAGAATTCAGATAACGGTTCAAGGTAACAAAGATTATAACCTTCCTAGGAGAAAAGTTCTGAACAATCAGTACATGGAATTGCAACGGACCTAATGATGCACTGATCAATGGATGCATGAAGCTGATGGCGATGGTTCAACCTACCCGTGTATAACAGGAATAGATTTTAAGTTATAAAAAGAACGGCCCGTCTCTTTTTGATTAAAGAAAAACCTATGATAAATATGTTAAAGAATAACCACTTTCACTAGATTTTCATACCTGCTGCTTAATAGTAGTTTATATAAATAATCAGACGAGAAGATCATGCAAGTAAGCAGAAGAAACAAGAGAAACCAAGAAAAGCAACAAAAGCTCAAGATAAATTAGTTTGTTAAGCCAGATAATCAATCAATAATTAATCACAAGCAATGGAAAAAAGAGGTGATGTTAAATATTAGAAATCATAAGAAGGGAGACATAACATACTTCAGCCAATTGCTTCTCTGCTTCACCAGTAAAGCGCCCACTTTCATCTAATGTTACTTCCTAAAGAAAAGGGCAGAATAAGAAAATAAGAAAATAAGATGTCCGATAACTCGGCAGTAATGGACTTCAAAGTAACTGACCTCATCATCAACTGGATCATCATATTGTGAAAGTATTGTCTTCCTAGAAACCTGGTCTTCAGTGAATCTACAATCAATCAAAAAGAACAAATCAAATAATATTTTACATGTAATGCTCACAAAAAAAAGGTTTTCATTGCAAAAACTTACTTATCATCATATTTCCCAGTTTTCCCTTTGGCAGCCCTATAAGCCTCATTTCTACGCTTCTGCTCACCAATCTCCACACTCTCAAGCATATCAACCTCTGTAACAAAAAGAAAATATGAAACTCATGTATATACGAAGAATACAAATGTTCAGGATAAAATGATACTACCTTCATTAATGTCACCATCTGCAAGAATATTCTGATCCTTCAAAGTAAGAACAACAGCACCACCTTCCATCACTTTATCAAGGCCATGAAGAACTTTCACTCCAGCTAAATCCTCTGGACAACAATACCAGATGCTTCACATTTGTAACAGCTTATCTACTTGTACAATACTACTAAGAAGTATTTGCAATTCATACTGAAATGAGCTTAATATAAAAATTTGCTGTAAAAGGAAAACAATGAATATAGCAGTAAAAAACAGTATTGGGCCTATAGAAAAAAGACCAACTTATAATTCTAAAACTTACTGCAACCGTCCTCATCTGGCTCTTCATCTTCAGCTTCCTCTAGAATTTTATCCTGCCAGAGACATAATAAAAACTATATAATAACTTAGCAGGATAATATGCAATTGAAGGAAAAAAAAAATAGAAAATACAGGTGTAACCTGTTCATCCAGCATCCTTGAAAGAGCTATAGCCTTCTCTTTTTCAGCATTCCTCTTTTCCTCAAGCTTCCGACTTCTACTGACCCACATGAGAATCCCAGAATCCTCCTCGAGAAACTCTTTTCGGGGAAGCACAGATTCAGAATTTCCATTTATTCTCTCTTCTTTCAACCTACAAGGCTTAAGTAATAAATGAAGAGCATCAAGATGGAGTTTATAGTGTAATACGATAAAAAAACCAAAGGGTATCAAACACAGGAAATAGATTTTTTTTTTTTTTTTACACAGGAAATAGTTAATGTTGCCTCAATTGGTAAATCCTAGATTTTACTTCTACGAGCATCTCCTCCCGTGATAGGCAATTAAAACTTAAGTTCTTCTCTGCAGATCTCCTTTTTCACTTGACATCATTGTTGATGTTTCCTCATCCTCTGTTTCGAAAAAAGGCACAATCCACCATTCCCAAAAGCTTACTTTTCAACTACTATATGCTCCCCAATTTTCAACAAGTTTATTATCTAAATATCATATTACTACAACTCACAATTGTTCCACAATATTTATCCCTGCTAATTGTCTTTCCAGTCTCAATTCAAAGAAGACAATAGGTGGTAGTATTGCATCTTGAGGCATCTACTAAACAACTAGCACTTCCTCCACCCTTGCTTCCACTATTCCTCCTTACCAGTGGCACTATAACTTGGGCCATTCTGTGCTTGCTCAATTTCCACCCTTCAAATTTGAATGCTATGCTTGTGAATTAGGTAACCAATCATCATGTGTCATTCTGGCTATACACTACTGTTCATTACCTTCTTCATTTTGAGCAAGTTCCTTTTGATATTTGGGTCCAAATCCTATTCTAACTAACTTAAGTGTTTTGTTATTATGTTGCCTTTATGTCTCATTTAAAAATTACTTGGGTACATTTATTAAAATGTCGATAAGAAGCCATCCATGCAGTTCACAAGTTTTATCAAGAAATTGAAATTTCAGTTCACAAGTTATGAGCATTGAATATCTTTAAAATAGAAGCAAACCTAATCCCATAACTTTTGTTCAGAAAATAACATTCTTAATCAAACTACATGCCCATATATCTCTCAACAAAATGAAGTCGCATAACGTAAGCATTTTCATCTCCTTAATGTCATCAAGACGGTGATGTTTCCCAGAAAGGTCCATCACCAGTTTAGGCGAATAAAATCCTAATTGTCAGTTACCTCATCAATAGCACTTCTCCAACTCTATCTATCATTTCTTTTCCTCCATAAGTGTTTATTTGCCTTCGATTTATTCATGTTTCTCTCCCATATAATAAACTGTCTTCTACGCCAATCTTAGCCTATTCATTGAGCACTCTTGAACTCAAAAATAATATTGATATTATGATCCCCTTATCAAACACATATACACTTCAACTGACATCACCTTTCACGGGAGTGCCCCTTTTAGTTCCTCTAGCTACTTCACTCCCTATCTCTCCCACTCTACATGGGCACTCTAAAAGATCTCAACCACCTCCACCTACGACATCTTCTATCATCACATCTACTTCTGCTGAGGATACTTCTGAGAGTATGCCTTACCTTCCTATTGCACTACAATACAGTAAACAACAAATTACTTATCATCCTACTCACCCCTTGATGACCTTCAACCATTTAATCACATCTTACCATTGTTTGTTATGATTTTGTCTAATGTCTCTATTCCCAAGACATCTCAAAGCACTATGCAACATCCTTTATGTTAATAGGCAACAGATGTTGAGATGATACTCTTCATACTCAATCAACAAAGGAATTGGTTTCCTCTCCCTATGAGGACAAAACAATTGCCTATCAATATATTTTCACTCTCAAGTTTCCTCATGCTCGCTCCATTAATCGGAAAAAAGCTCGGCTAGTTGCAAAAATTTTACTCAAATCGATGGGATAAATTATTTTGATACTTTTCCTATGATCAACACACCCGACTCTATTAATTCAAATCAATGTGCCATCAATCAAGGTTGGCACATGCTACAAATGAATGTTAGTAACACATTCCTTTATAGTGATTTAAATGAGACTATATATGATAAAACCTCCTCGTTATGTTGCTTAAAGAGAGGAACATGTGTGCCTACACATGAAGACCATTTATGAGCTCAAGCAGCGTCTACAAAGTTGTTTTGACAAACTCTGTAAAGTTAACCTTCTAAGCAGTTTTGTCAATCTTTCTATCAGTATCAAATATTTAATAATAGGCTCAGTTGTGTAGTTAGTTATGTAGATAAAATATGACACATTGGTACTAATAAAGAAACCATACCTAAAGTAGATAAATACTAACAAAATTGTTTTGATACCAAAGATATATGGTGCCTTAAATATTTTCTTAGGTTTAAATTTACTTATAACAAGAATGGGGTTTCTCCATCCAAAAACAAGCATAATAAGAAGTGGGAAAGCAAGGAGAAGTGCTATGGAGAGTTTTAGAAAAGAAAGGGTTAATAATGCTTATAATCAAGTTATTAAAGATATCTATGCAGGAGCTGTCACTTGTGTCCAAACACAAAGTGGTTTAACCAAGTATTTTCCTATTTCAGCTGGATTACACCAAGGATCAGCCGTAAGCCCATATCTTTTTGTTTTAGTCATGGATGTTCTCACTAGACATTTGCAAGAGGTTGTACCCTATTGTATGCTTTTTGCTAATGATATTCTTCTTGTTGATAAAACTAGAGGAGTTCAAGGTAAATTTGAATTATGGAGGTCAACCTTAGAGTCTATAGACTTTCATTTGAGTAGATCTAAAACTGAATATATAGAGAGTAATTTTAGTAGTAATAGATCTAGTGAGGGGATTGCGACTTTGGGTGATCAAGTCATTAATAAGAGTACACTTTTTAGATATCTTGGATCTATTGTTCAAAATGATGGTGAAATATATGTGGATATTATCAGCAGAATTCAAGTTGGATAGTTGAAGTGGAGGAACGCATCGGGCTTGTTGTGTGATAGAAAAGTCCCCCTCAAACTTAACGGAAAATTCTATAAGATAGTGGTTAGACCTGCAATGCTTTATGGTGTAGACTGTTGGCCATTAAAAGAGAAGCATAACATTAAGTTAAGTGTTGCAGAGATGATGATGCTCATATGGATGAATGGATTTACTCTTAGAGACATGATACGAAATGAGCATATACGTGAAAAGGTAGGAGTAGCTCCAGTAGAAGATAAGATTAGAGAGAGTCTCCTTACATGGTTTTGTCATATAAAACGGCGATCTTCCGATGACCCGGTTAGGAAAGCAAATATATTAGATTTGACTTATGTTAAGAGGGGCAGAGTTAGACCTAAAAAGAATTGGTTATAAAATATTAAAAATTACCTTTTTTATTAGATTTAAATGAGAATTTAACTTTTAACAAGGCACAATGGAGAAAAAAGATTCGTGTATCCGACCCCACATAGTGGGATAAAGACTTGATGTTGTTGTTGTTAAGTGCAAAAAATTCAGCTCATATCAAATAGGAGTACTGAGTCATAAGAATCAACAACAAAAGGGCAATGCTGAATAGAAGGGAGAAAGTAAGAATAATAATAGAAAAGCACAGCGTGCCTTTTGGTTTATTCAAATTCAAGCTCTTTAAAAACTAAGATCGATGAAGAACTCACAAATCTAAGCTTAACAACTAATGAAGAATCCAATGATTTAGATAGTGAGCAAGCATATAATTTTTCTATTATTAACTACTCTCATTTTCTGAACAAATGCATATTAGCCTTAAAAATTTGAAGACAAAAATTTTTGCATTAAAAAAGAATTGTCTGCCTTGCAAAAAGAACAAGCTATTATGTTAGAAGAATTTGAAAGCTTGAAAAGGAGCTAAAAGATAAAACTTCCAAGCATAATGAGCTTGAGCATGAATATACCACATTAGGAGAGGTTCAACATTTTATAAAATTGAGCATGACCTCCAGGTCAAGCTTGGGATCACAAAAAGTGCAAATGAAGAGTTAAAAAAGGAATTATAAAACTGAAAATGCTTGCACCTTGTTCTACACATTGTCATATATCACCCTAAGTGGTTCTACATGTACTATCTTCCTCTAGAAAAAATAGGTTTAGATAAAATGGGCTACATCATGCATTCTCTTCAGTTATTTTCCATTCACGTGGCATGATAGAACATATTGCGCAAATATATAAACATAGGTCCCACTTAAACCCATCCCATGAATAGAGACAAAAAGCCACTATTATTCATCACAGCATGCATTCATCTCATAATATTAGGAGACGCAAGCAAATTTGGATTCCTAAGCTCACATCTTAAAGTGTTTTTGTAGGTGTGCATTCAATAGAGATCGGTGAAGTTAAGTGGTACCTAGACATCGGGCGCTCATATCACATGATTTGTAGACGAGCAAATTTGTTACACTTAAGTTTAGGAATGTGGAAAAGTGACCCTTAGAGATTATAGCACAAGAAAGGTTATTGGTAAATTCTTTTATTATTAAGAAGGCATTTTTAGTAACAAAATCATCAAGCCTTTATCCTACTACGTGGGGTTAGCTACATGAATTATTTTTCTTCATTATGTCCTATTAAGAGTTAAATTCTCATTTAAATCTAAAAATAAAAGGCATTTCTAATACTTTCTAACAAAGCCTTTTTAGGTCTACATTTGTCTTTCTGAATATAGGTCAAATCTAAAACATCTACTCTCCTAACCAGGTCATCAAAAGGCCGACATTTTATGTGACCAAACCATCTATGGTAACTCTCCTAATCTTATATGCTTCTAGAGCTACCCCAACCTTTTCCCATATATACTCGTTTCACATTCAATCTCTAAGAGAAAAGCCACTCATCCACCTGAGCATCCTCATCTCTGCAACACATAACTTAATATTATGTTTCTCTTTTAATAGCCAATATTCTACGCCATAAAGCATTGCAGATCTAACCACCATCTTATAGATTTTTCCCTTAAGTGGAGGGATGCTTTTCTATCACACAACAGGCCCAATGCATTCCTCTAATTTAACCATCCAACTTGAATTCTACAAATAATATCCCCAACTATTTCACCACACCTTGAACAATAAACCCAAGATATCTAAAACGTGTACTCTTTTTAATAACTTAATCAGCCAAAGTCACAATCCCCCACTAGAT